GTAGGGAAAAAGCACCGACCTCTAGATCATATAGAAGCTGTAAGCCACTGAAAAAGTTTTTGTTTATCACACACATCATTACTTGCTACCCCATAAGATATGCTATTTCTATTTAAATATTTTCCTCTTATGATCAAGCATATGATGCAGGGCACGCTTAATTAAGGAATCGTACACTGTCGAAGGTCAGACACTGACACGGCTCTAACATGTGTCGAACGTGACATAAAAGTGCCCAATGTAAATAATAATTAAAAAAGAGGACACTCTGTCCTAAATTAATGAGCTTTCTAAAAGTATTTTTAGATTAAAATTCAAAAAAAATATGTATTTATGTAAAACTTAAGATTTACATACATACCACTATACTTTTATGTTTTTACATATCTAACACATAAATTTCAATTTTCACATAGATGCAACTTTAAACGTATATGAAAATGAGTATTTCACTTCTTAAAACTGAAAATATTGGTATGTTAGATGTGATATGAAAGATATGGGTGGCATAAGGGTAAAAAGAAAAAAATTTAGGTGTTAGATATGTAGATACATAAGAATTCAGTGCCAAAGAAGTTGGTGATTTTTTTATTTCTTTTAATGAATAATGATTAATAGGACTTAAATCTTGATATAATATAAGATAATATATGATTTCATTTTGTATGCCATAAATTAAACAACTATTTACGGATATCTTAGTTTTTGAAAACTAATGTTATAAATTTCTTATTTTCCTTTTGTATTATTTTTAATATTTTGTTTATTTAATTTTTTTATTTTTTTAACATTTTTTATTATAAAGGTGTGTCTGACATGTGTCCGTCTCTAATAATTTTAATAAAAGTCATGTCTCGTGTCCCATGTCTGTGTTGTTTCCATGTCTCCATGTCCATATTCGTCCAACGTAAGATCAAACAAATTGCAGAAGCACCACTATGTATCCATAATCACCAAATGATGAGGTTATAGATAAACAAAGTCCTAACCTTAATCATACAGAGAAATAAAGCACATCTTTTATCACTCAAACAACATGCAAAATTACTTAAGTTGAGAAATAGGGGATTTATTGTGTTGCTTACTATACAAACCAATACCAAAATGCATGCACAAGTCAATCTTTTGTATACATAAACCTTAAGGTCTACAGTGAACATCACACATAACTCAAAAAAACAAGAAGTAAGAACAAAAAAATAAAACAATATAACATGGTTAGAGTTCTTATAACTCAACGTTCATAGGGCAACATCAATTAAATCTTTTTATTGAGAAATATAATGAATATAAACAAAAGATTTATCAATTGATTTTTGGTCTCGTAAAGAGCGCATAAATCACTCAACCCCTAAACAAAAAAAGAAAAAAAATGAATGACTTGCATATTTAAGCCATATAAAATCCACAAGAACCACATTCTCATGCATCTTTATTTCTTACAATTATTAATCCAAAGATCATAAATTTGATTCAGGCAAAACAACCAAGAAGAAAGAAGATCAAGTGTACGAAGGAACCAAGCAAAACTTTACAAGTGATTTACACCAATGGAAGCTAATACTTGTGATGAAACACTGTGGAAGCCCTAAGGTTTCTTCCGATTTCCCCAAAGGACAAACCCTTGACTCCTTGCCTCCTCACTCTTGTGATTTTCTTTTCGATTTTTAATTCATGGGTTAGGATTCAAAGAAAAATATCTATACAAGCATTGCTTATATGAAGGTAAACTATAACCATATAATCCACAGAGAAAATAAGAAGCAAAATAGATCTCAATTCAAGAACATATCTTAAGAATTCACCTATTCCTATAGAGTCAATAGAGATCAAACCAATACATTGCTACTACTAAACTATGAAGGAAGAAGAAGAGCATTACCAATATATATTTAGGCATTTGCTACATATGATTTATAATTTTATTTAATAGATGTATAATAGTTGAATTTCACAATTTTCAAGAATTAATCAATGTAAATAATTACATTTAAAGATATAATGCAAGTATAAGCTTTAATTATTCTTTCCTTTATATATATATATGCTTGAATTTCCTTTATATATGCTTGTATATATATATTTCTTGTTGCTTTTATAAATAAGGGCTGTAGTGTGCTTTTATCTTAATATGATCTCTTGGTTTTTCCATCCCGTAAGAAGCAAAAGAGGAGAAAGGGGTGGGGTACGTGAGTTGTTGGAAAGCTTTTTAGATCTCCTTGTTTCAGGAAGTTTTTGAAAGTGATTTTATTGTATAACTCTTAAGCTGTGCAACTCTGTAGAAGTATGAAGTGTTTTCAAGTAAATCAAGACTTAAATTGATATGTGTTGACCTCACTTTTGGCGGAAGTGTAGTTTTTCTCCTCTTTAATAGCTTAGGGTCTAGCCGTAAGACTTCACTGTCAACTACTCCTAGAAAACTAGCAAAGGAGCACTCCCTGTTAGAAATTCTGAGCATTTCTTTGCTCGACTTGACGTTCTGCATGGTAGTTTTGACCGCTATTACTTAGTAGGTAAGGCTACTATGGAGAAACTTAAGGAGCATCCCTATAGGACTGTTGGCCTTAGGATTGACCGTACGCGTTGATTTGACATCGTCGTGCTCTTCACCGTCCTGTTTGATTGAGCTCGAGCCGAGTTTTTGACGTGATTTGGGTCACGACGTGTTTTTGTCCTGATCGTCAACGAGGTTGTCTAAATGACACCAGATGACAAAACGGACTGTGCCGACACGTCCAGAACGTCGATTTTGCCTAAAGGGGACGATCGTTTCACCGAAACAACACGTCTGGGAAAAAATACACATTTAAGTGTTAATTATAATAATAAACAATATTTTATTATTATTATTATTATTATTATTATTATTATTACTACTACCTTATTTTTAAATCCTAACCTAATTTCATTATCTCCCCCTCCCCTCTGCTGAGTCTCGACCCCGTGGAACTCTGCCCTAGCTTCGGCTCGCTCGGTTCCACCTGGCCCGCTCCTTCGTGTTGTTGGAGTCTCGTTCCCGCGCCCGCCTCGCGCATACGGGACGATCCCGCGACCCGTCCCTTATCGTATCTCATCCTCTGCGAGGATCTCATCCTCTGCCTCTGGCACGCCCGTATGGGGGCGTCTGCTCCTCTCGATCCTTCGATCCGTATGCGATCCCCTAATCATTCCTTCTCCTTCTCTCTGGTTTATTGACACTCTGTTTGGTGCGTTTCAATGGGCCAAAAATTTCTGAGAGGGAAAATTTCTGACTGTTTGGTGCGTTTCAATGGGCCAAAAATTTCTGAGAGGGAGGGAAAACTCTGCCAAATTTATTTCTCACCTTTTTTCTTTAGTTCTTCCTCTTTGGGTTCGCTTCCTCTTGCTGTTGGAGAGGAGTTTAGGCTGTGAAGTATTTTTCTGAACTTTTTTACTTTAGTTCTGCATTAAAGAGGTACTTCTTCCCCTCCTCTGTGCCTTGCTTCTTTTTCGATTTCTCTCGGCCAAGCTGCTGGAAATAGTTTTTTTCTTTGGATGGTACAACATGCTAGTCTAATATACTTCATGTATTTTTTGATATTCACCATTCAAGCATATGAAAGTAGGTTTTTGAGCATGTTCTAGGAGTTAGTCCTGATTATTTGCTATAATCAATGAAAATATAGCATGTTATTGGATGCCTTCTTTTTGCTTGAAGTATTTGGAAGTATTATGATGTAGCTTTGAAACGAGATTTGCTCCTCCGAAATACATGTCGGAATGCATCATAAATCTTTTTATTTTTATCACTCCTGCTTAAAATGAATACTAGAGAGCCCGCTTTGCTTTTCATATATATGTGGGGCTCAGTTTTAGCTCATGTGGTTGCCTCATTTGTTCGAAAGCTATATGATGTATAAAAAGATTTATTTTGGAAGTCTCTCGGAACTTATTTTGAAAGCTTGGTGTTTGATTTATCATTGCTCTTTCTTGTTCAAGTATTGGTTGAGAAAAAAGAATTTTTGGAGGTTTTGAAATGTTAACTTTGAGGTTTATGCATGCTTCTCTATTTCACGTTATTCTTCTCATATGAAACACATATTGAGGTGGATTTGTTTTAGCCACCGGATGACACAATTTTTGGCCTTTGCTGGGCTCGGTTTTTAGCCTCTATTGGGGCTCGGTTTTGGCTCTCTGTGGCTTTTCCTTGCTCGAAATACATGTTATGAGAAAAATTATTTAATTTGGAAAGCTTTGTAACTTGTTTTGATGGCTTGGTTTAGCTCCTCGTGAGGCATCCTTTTGCTCAAATATCTGTTGGAAACGGTTTCATGTTGGTGGCCCGAATGTGTTCTCTATGTTGTTGTTCTTGTTTAAAGTGTATACTGGTTCCATAAATTGTGGCTCCATAAATTGATGTTATAAATTGATGTTTCAAAGGCATGTGGGTTATTCTTTGGCTTTGAATGACTCAGTTTTACCTTGAGGTGGCTGGAATTTTTATCTCCATTAAAGCTTGGGTTTTAATTTATGCTCAGGCCCTATTTTGGCCTTGAATGACTCGGTTTTGCTTGCTTTGGCCCTTACCCGAGAGCTTGTTGAGGGGTTGTTATGTGCTTCTCTGGCTCCTACCTAAGAGCTTGTGATGGAGTTTGTTCAAACCTTTTCTTGGTCTTACTCGTGAGCCTGTTGGTGGGTCATTCGGGATTGTTTGGCTCTTCTTGTTGGGCTTGATTAGCTTGAATTTTGCTGATGAATCAAGTTTGTCATCTAAAAAAAAATTATAATCATTTTATTTATTTTTTTTATCCTCTTATGTATGTGGGGGGAGCATATTAGCCACTGGTGGTTCTTTTGGTTGCCTCGGTCGTGAGCCTTAACAGCTCTCCCTTTCCTTTGGTTGCCTTAGTCGTGAGTCTTACTTATTGTTCCTTGGGTTGCCTTTGGTCATGGGCCTTAGCAGTTGTTCCTTGCTGCCCTGAACCGTGAGCCTTAGTAGTTGCCTCCCTTGTGGGTTGCCTTGGCCGAGAGCCTTAACTGTTGTTCATCTCTTTGTATTGAGCTTGGCTGTGAGCATTTATGTGGTTTTAGCCAGATGTTTTTATATTTATTTAACATATGAAGCTTTTGATTACATTTGGAATTGGATGACTTTGATGTTGGCATGATTTTGGAAGTATAAATGGTTGTCGTCCCTGGGATACTTTTCCTTTTGTTCGAGTTGTGGAATTTGAAAATTCATTTTCAGGGGAGCATATGGTTGATTTAAATTGAATTCATAAATGATGTTTCGGGAGTTTGACATTAAAGTTTTGATATAGTTCGAGTGCAGGCTCGGGTGTGTGTGGACATGTAGTTAGTGGTAGAGCCATGTGTGCGACCGTCACATTGACTTGGGTTGATCCACTTATAAAATGTGGAAAATGATATCCTTTCGGATTGATTCAAGGATCTTAGGGCCTTCTTTTTCAGATCTTTTCGTCATGAGTTTTGAGGGCTGATTCATCCTCCTTTCTGATGTTTTAAGTGGATAAGTACCTCCTCTCTCCACCTTATTTTTGTTCTTTTTTTTCTTGCTTTTTGGTTCGGTTTTTTATGCTTATGTCCGATGCATAAGCGTCCACGTATAGCCTTTTGATATACGTGAAATCATCAAGCAAGGTCGCAAGTAGTTCGGTTTTGTTTTGGGGCTTAGAGCGGTGATGACAAAAGCACACCAGAGATAGAGCATAATGATATGTCATCCTACGACATCGGGATCCGATTCAGGAACCTATCAGGATCCGATTCAATAATTCGGTGAGCTGTAGGATGACAGTATTATTCACTGACATAAGACTAGCGAGAGTTGACCCGAAACTTCTTAGGTAGTTGGTAGCACTACGCCCGACAACGCGATCGACTCGTGGACTACTTTTCAAAATTGATAAAAAAACAAAATTGATAAGAATAGATACACCTTTTTTTTAAAACAAAAATATATTTTTCGCTACAAATAAAATTGATACAACTCCTTTTGTATGCTTAAAACTTATGTGCATGCTAAAAATATAAATTTTAAATATGTCCACCTATTGATTACCTGTTTGGGCTAAAGAGCACCCTCCTGAGTTAGGTTCGATAGGACATCTTTCTAGTTGAGTGGCGGGCTTTATACATCCGGGTGACCGAGTAGCCTTCAACGACCCTCGAGTACTAATATATAGTTGAGTCTAGTCCCAACTTGAGTGCTTGCGATCCCCCCTTTTCAGATTTTTTCATATGTTTTCTCGGGATTTTTTACCAAAGCACTCGTGGTCGCTTTTCGGGGTTTTCCCCGTGTTTTCTAAGATTTTCATTGATTCGTCGATTTCCTCGCATTTTTCTTGTCGCGAGTCTTGTGACGATTATTCTCGAGATTTCTGAGTGATGTTTTTTTACTTCGTTTATATAAAGCATTTCGGTCTGCTTATTTCGGTCTGCTTCCTCAAGGCTTCCTCAAGTTTTGTTGCTTGTACCTGATTGCATCAATTACACCTAAGGAACTGCGGATCTCCCAGATATGTAGGTTTGTTTTATGTTTACAGCATATTACTTTCTTGTAATTACTTACAAGTTGTATTTCTTACTTTTTTTTACACCTCATGTTGTACTGTTCTCTTTACTGCATACTCTACTGTTATGTTATACACTGTACAACTTCAACACGTTCCCTATAAAATGTTTGAAGAACTACAACCATAGGGCCGCTGGATTTAACATCATAACCTGACACCCTAGAAAACTTAAACTCGTCACGACAAGGAACTTGGAGCTAGCGCGGTGGTCAGCACGGTCATCTTCAACAGCAGAACATGTCTTCCTCAACTAAACTATTTCTTCCATAGAATTAAACAATAATCCATAGAATTTCGAGGTCGTTCGCGTGGTGCGACATAAATCCTCAACTTGTCTTTTAAACATTTGTACAACTCTATTGCAACTCTATAGTGCAATCTAAGCCCTAACTCGTTTTAGGATTTTGAGGTTGTCGTCCAACACGACCTAAATCCTCACATCTTTCAGATTATTTATACGATCGTTTCATACAAGTGTAAGCCCTAAATAAATAAAATTGACATGATAAAATAATTGAATAATTTTTTTTCTAAACTGAAGCCAAATCATATGATAGACTGGAAAGTCACCGAGATTCTTCTCCGGATCTGTGACATCCCCTAGTTCTTCTTCCTTTGGATTCTATAATAAATGTTCCAAACTTGAATCATTCCTTTTCCACACCTCTTTGTCCGATTTTGTTGAAAAGTCCTATCTTTTTAACTTCTTTGAATATAATATTTCTTGATTTTTATCGAGAGTATTCTTAGGTGACTATGGTTGTCTAAAATGTAATTAACTATAGGGGCTTGCCCTTATATGAAGATTTTTCAAACCCAGCTTAAAATAAACCCTATTTAATTTTTCATATTAAATAGGAAAATTTGTCGGCAAATAAAATGGTTTCGCAGACCAAACGGACCTCATATATTTCTTAGTTTATTTGATCGAATTTTATCCTCAAGTCTTGTGTTTATCCCTCGGGATAGATACAAGATTTAAGGTAGAACGCTTTTTCATTTAAACTGTGAAGATTATGGGGTCAGTTTGATTTCATATTTTTTTAAACTTAAATTTATATGTAAATTAAAGCGTCCTTCCGAAGCAGACGACGAGATTTCGATTCCGGTGACCGACAGCTTCTGACGGACAATTTCCCCAACTTTTTAGTGCCGACAATATGATTAATTTTATTTTAAAGTTCTAAAAGTATTATGGTAATACTCTCATTCTTCCTCCATTTTTTAATAGTAGCAAGTGGTTGATCTAAAGGATTAATCTCCACTGGTTCTATAGGAAGTGGTGGCCTGGATCTTGAGTTTAATTTTTTTATTTTATATCTATTTTGTTTTTAATATTCTCATGGATTATATGGTTACAGTTTACGTTCATATTAAAAAAAAAATTGTATAGATTTTTTTCTTTGTGCCCTACCCATAACATGAAATCAAAAAAGAATCTCAAGGATGAGGAGGCTGCAGACAAAACTGTGAGTCTCTCATTTGGAGAAATTAGAAGAAACATTATATCTTCAGCTTATATAATTCTTCTATGGTGTTTCATCGAAAGCGTTAGCACCCATTGATGCAAATCACCTATAAAAATTTGCTTGGTTCTAACTTGCACCAATTCATCTTCTTTCTTGGTGCTTTGTTCGAACAAAATGTATGATTTCTAGTTTTAATAATTGCAATGGGATGAAGATATATGAATATGTGATTCTTGTGGATTATATATTGCTTAAAGTTGTAAATCCTTTCTGATTTGTTTAAAAGGTGATCTAGTTTTGTGTTCTTTACAAAACTATAAATCAATTATAAATCTCTTACATCTATTCTTCACATTTCATTAATAAATAGAGTGAGGTTGTCCCGTGGACGTAGAGCTCGTAAGAACTTAAACCACATTGTTTTGATCTTTCTTCATCTTGTTTTATCCAGCTATATGCGGTATTCACAATTAAAATTCATTTATATATCTCTTACGAGTTTTATCTTTACAATTCGATATGCTTTCTACAAATTGATAATTAATTCTTGAAATATTGTATAACTTTTATGTGTACAGAAGATTGTATTGTTGTGTATTAATTTTGATCTTGGTTAAGTATATTAAGTCAGCATGATAAATCACCTATTTCTCAAAAAAATGTTCTCACTACTCTCCAGCAATTATAGAATTACGCTACACCTGGTGCGTCAATCAAACATTCATCCATGACATAAAAAGGCACAGCTAGCTGACACCAACACATTTGTAAAAGAAATACATGAAACAAACACACCGTGCCTTCTTAAGCCAAGTTCATTAAGAACGTCCTCATTGCCAACTGAAAACATTGATGAAAAAATAAAAAACACTTACATCTGTTTATCAACAATCACATATGTAGATGTTGATGTTCCCCCGTTAGAAATCTGAAAAGTGCATAAAGAATGTTGAGCACTAACGCAGAAAGGCACAAAAAAACATAAACAAAATCATGCCAAATAATGAAATTCCTCTGGAAAACCATCAATACAGGGCAAGAGTATTAATTAACTGTTACTATTAAGTTTGCAAGTAAAATGGTCGCCACCAAGGCCATAAGGTGCATAATGAGACAAAAATCTTTACATCAGCCAACCTTGACTAGAGAAGTATCCACCCCGTCTGCTTCAAGCTCTGCCAAGGCGCTTTTCCCTAGAGAATCATCACCAACCTGGGTGCAGTTATACAATTACAAGTGGAATAAAGTAACCATACATAGAAGCGAAAGGTTTTATCCAGCAAGCGCCGGATACCATGGTGATGAGCTTAGGCGTCAAACCCAAGCGAGAAGCACAAGTCAAAGCATTAGCAGCATTCCCGCCACCAAACACCTACAAAAAGATTGCAGAAAGAAAGTTTACTACTCGCGAGAAAAGAATTTAAAAAAAAAAACGATAAAACACATTCGCAGTAATCATGGCCTCCATCAAATATTACCTGCAAACTCCTGCCACGAACCTTCTCATCGGGCTTAGGAAAAGCATCTACTATTGCGACATAGTCCACAGAAACCATTCCAAAACCCACCTAAGCCCATCAATCAAGTTTATTGATTTCAAGGAAATACAAACACAGGTATCACAAGCAAAAGTAATCAGAAATACAAGTGGAGAAATGGACTAAGAGAGAAGACGCACTACGATGCGATTCTCGGGTAAGGGAGGGAGATCAGAAGAGAACAGACCGTGCGTTTCAGACATCGACGATTCCGCCATGGATCTCCTTTTTCAAGAGAAGAAAAGAAGAGAATTCGAGAAGGGAAGATTTTGAAACAGAACCCAGAGCAGGGTTTATGGTTACTGCAGTTTACAGATGCTTCCTTCTGGCGACGATACCTCCAATGATTGTTTTCTAGCTTGTTTTTGCTCCATCTGAAAGCTCCATGCCTCCTGCCACCCAATTTTTATTTACTTGTGTATCTAACTCCTAAAAATTTTACCTTTTATGTTTATACCACTCTTTTATATTACATTAAAAAATATCACAATTTTTAATTTTTAGAAGTAAAATATATATTTTTTTTCATTTATGGATAAAATGGTATGCAAAATTAAAATTTTGTTGTTAGATATGTGACATGAATTACACTTTCAAATTTTGATGTCCATTAGAATGATATAATTAAACCTATAAGAGCTTGTCTTGTGCATAAAAGAAATGATTGGCTTTTCTTTTGAACATGTGGGTTCATAATGTGAATCTAATTTTGAATAAAAGACATAAGTGGTTTGTGTTTGATGTGAATGTGCTAATGGGCTAGGAGTGATAGCTTATATGTGTAATGCCACTTGACTCTCTTTCTAAGCTTATTTATTATTATAATATGATATGCAACAAATAAATATCATATGATATTTTATATTTAGCCAGACATCTAACTCCCGCAATACGTTTGTGATGATGAACAATTTGAATAATATTACTTGTTAAAGTAAATTATATAGACTACTACTAGTTATGATGTGATGTTTTATATGATACATAATACTAAAATGATACTCTTTAGTTGTGTCATATACTTTGTACTTGATATTGATACAATAGTGGTCGTACGCGAATTTATTTATTTAATTTCCGTATAGCAAATGTCTTGAAAAGATAAATTTTTAAGCATAAATATTATTTTATTTATTTACTCCTATTATATTTCATAGTTTTAAGAATGGGTAAAGCTACATGGAGTAAGGTTACTTATTAATTTTAAAATAATTTTACAATATTGAATTAATCAAAGTATTTCGGTATTATTTTTAAATAATCATAATATATTTATTTTGGAGCATATATATACATGTCAGACGATGATTTTCACTTTTTTGTTATGTTTGATGGAGAGCTTTAGATTATAGAAATTTGATGCATTGTAAAAGAAATTCTTTCTAAAAATGAGCATGAACATTATTTGTTGTGCATTCAACATAATATGACCCACCATAGTGTAGAGTTTATACAATTTTGGGTAGATTTTGTTCTATTAGAATAATAATTTTGAAGGAATTAATAAAGTATTGAGCTATAGAATTAATTGTAAGATGATTAATAAAAAAATGTTATTTTAAAACTCATCATTTTTTTTATTTTTGTGTACATTTTCGTTATTTTAAATTTTTACATATGAATTTTCAAGGATAAGAGTATTGTGATTTTTTATTTTTGGATATCAAATATAAGGAATAGCTAATAGAATAATGCTACTTTAGCATTGATAATGCATGGTATCTTAGAGGCCACGATATTAAATTCTTTAATGCAGTTTGCTAATGGCATTGCAAAGCTGGTGGGTGATGCATAGAGTAGAATGTCTACAAACATTGTAGATGTGAGAGCAAGGCATTTATATATGCTCTAAAGATTCAAGATACTCTGAAATAAAAATTTAAAGAAGGCAAGAAAAAAATAAAGAAGTAAGTATTGAAGTTAATGGCTCATAAATATTTTGTCATAATACTTGGGTTGATGTGAGATATGAATAATTAGATGCTACGTTTGCGAGCAATAATCGGGTGACAATTTATAGAAATAATTAAGGATTATGCTTGCTAGAAGATTGATAGAATTGAGTGGAATCAATTCATGCTATTGTGAAGGAATGGCATATAAGCATACATCAATTGACTATAAGGGTTGGGGCCAAAGATATAGGCAAAAAGGTGGTTGGTATGGCTCATACAAGCACACATTGAGTAGTTGTGGGGCATAAAGAGCTAGTTATGCGATGATGATGAAGAGAGGGAGCTAATGCTATGAAGTTAGGAAGGAATGGCTTATATGATGAAGCTTGGGTTGGCCACTCTTGTATTGAACATAAACATTCTACAAATAGCATTTGAATTAATGATATCGATAGAGTACTTTTGAAATAATTAGGGAAAACTTACAAGTTTTCGAGTAGAAAAACATATGCTACTTAAGAATTTATAAATTAATAAAATTAATGTAATAATGTGACTAGTTAGTTTAGATATATATCTAATTAAAAAGATTGATTAGTTCTTTATTATTGAAAGGGGATAGAAGATAAATACTTTTTTTTTGCCGACAATTTTATTAATCTAAACAATTCACTTAAGAATTTCAAAATTAGTTTAGATACATTATAAATTAAGGCGTTTTCTCATATATTTGAATTTATAATCAATTGTTTTAGTTTAATTGTTATAATTCATGAATAATTGAATAAATATTAATTAAGGACCTATATAGTAATAATTATCTTATAACTAATTTTGTTGAGATTTGTGTGAGAATGATGCTCTACGCTCATCTTATTACATATACAACACATACACTTATATGACACATGCAATGGTACAACACATGCAATTACATACATTCCTTATAAATGATCAATTGACCACTCCAATTACCTACCTAAGGACCAACTCAATCATCCTATCTTAGGCAACTCACTCATGACATTATAAAGCCATATGATCTTAAGGAATATCAATTTTGAGGTAATATTTATAGCTATGTTATTGTAATATCTAAACAAAAGTAATTTTCTTATTAAAAATTTATTATTATAATAGATGTATAAGTTATGCATTTTAAAATTTTAATAAATCAAAAGATAATATATTTTCTTTTAAGACATTAATGATCTTCAGAAAGATAAAATTTTAGCATCCTAAGCAATCAAAATTATAGCATTTAATCATTTGAAATCTTAAAACCTCTTATTAAAATAACCCAAGCCCTAACAAAACTCCTAAAAAATACTTGAAAGCTATATTTGAAATTAATACTAACCATGATTTCTCAATCAATTTATATGATGTTTTCTAACATCATTGATTTAATAATATTAACACAACTCTATTGATAAGGTAAACAATGCAAGGGTGCTAGTCTACCTAGAGGACTTATTCAAATTTGAAAAATACTACCACCTTTTTTTTTTCTCATGCACACACTCATCAAATATGTGTGAGTAGAGAAGGATTGGTCTGAGCTAGGCAATTTGTTTTGGGCTAGGCTAGCACAGATTGAGTTGTATGGCTCTATTTTATGGTATGATTTGAATAATCTTAGTGCAAATGGATTCATCTAGAAACACAAGATCTTTTTTAGGCATTTTTATTTTCCTTTTTTTAGCATATTTCTAGTTTGTTTTACAAAATATTAAGTCATTTGTTATGTTGTTTTGAGTATCGTTGGCATTCATGTTTCGTGTTAGAAGATATGGAGATTTACATACATAGCACATAAAATATTAGGTTTGTATATTACATATCAAAACTTTGTTATTTGCATAGATATAGCATATAAAATCTCAAAATAAAATAAAAAAAAGTATCCACCCAAGCACTATCTCATTGCGTCGCCATTTCAACAAAATGTCTCGTGAGCACCTAATCGTAGCCGACATCTTCATGATACTAGTAGGCATCTTATTGGTCCTAGTTGGCCTGTTTCATGATCCTGGTTCTCATCTTTTTACTCCTAGTTGGTCTCTTTGCATGATCCTATTTGGCCTCTTCTTAAGGGTCTCTTCAAGTCTTCCTAATTTTATCCTCGTTGACGACTTCTACTTCGAGTTCCATAAGCTTTATCGATAGAGATAACACTGTTAGAGGACAGATAAAAAAATTAAAATATTAAATCTATAAATCATAATATTGTGAGTGTCATGTAAGTAAATCTTTTAAAAATTTATATTTAGTTAGATAATATTTTCACCATCCCAATAATAATAAATTCATGTTAATATGATAAAATTTTTTAATAAATAACTTAAAAGACTCTAGAATGTTTGCTTGTCTTTATCTTATTTTTATTAATTTATTTTTTGGTGTGTTTATTTTTGAGTAACGTGCATATCTTTATGTATACAGATAATTAGCCTCAATAGGTTTGTAATAGAATAAATGGTATTTCTTGGACAAAGTCTCGTTTAACGGATACTTAAAGAATCACATGGATTTGAGCTCGTCATAAGTCCCATTATATATCTCGTCAGATCAATTAAACCTACCGCTCGGATAAAAAATTGACCTAGCGAATTGACTTGTCGGATTGAAGCGCCAAATATTACGTTCGCGGGAGTTATGACGCTGCACATACCCGTCTTTTGATTTTGCATCAACAAATGGTGATCATGATTAACAAATTGTCGAAGTATATAGGGATTTATGAGTCGTCTCACATCCATGTTGTGATCTTTTCAACAAGAAACCGTTAATAGATTTCATATCGTGCAGTTCATAATTTTATATTTTTTCTCTTTATATATTAAGGGAAATATACTTTGAGTCTCTCTCTCTCTCTCTCTATCTCTCTCTCTCTCTCTCTGGAAGAGACTAAATCGTCTTCTCCATCCTACCAAAGAAGGATTGTCGGATACAAAAAGAACTTGAGAATACCACTCTTTCTTTTATTCTCATAAAACAAGTTTCACGCGTATTGTATGAATTCATTCATATTACACCCCCATACTAGAAGAATTTAACCATTCAAATGAATAAATATCATTATGATAATGTCAGATTTATTAAAATATTCTAATCTATTTTAAAAATAGAAAAAATGCGCGTAGTTAATTTTTCTCCTATACAATTGGAATTACAAATCTAAAATATAAAATTTTAAAAAATAAATCTTAAGCTGAATCTCCAACACACGCGTCGCAGCAGATCCGAATCACCCCACTACCCTCTCATCCATCCGACACGTGTCCGTACGATATCATGATTCCTTGGCATTATCTGCTACGGACACCTGTCCAATTGTAAGACACGCGGCTCAATCTAAATCGTTCACGATCACATGGTCGGCAAGCTACGGGCGTTGAGACACGTGAGCCGGTCACACGCGCGTAAACCAGACCGCTTGTTTGGTCAATGGAAAACTCGATCACAGCCGTCGATTTCCTTAAGCGCGATTTGTCTGCCGGCCTATTAAAGCAAACCCCTCGCTCCATCTTCAATTTCACAAATCTGAAAATAAGCTCGAAAATTGTAAGAAGAGATCAAGAAGCAGTCGAGGAGTAGAACGATGGCGCTGAACATCACCCCCCAGCTCGGTTCCCTTCGCGGTTCCCCGTTTCCAGAGCAGGCCGGCGGTGGAGATCAGCCGACGGCTGTTTCGGCTTTATGGAAACCGGTAGCTTCTGGGGGTAACCTCCGTTGCAGGATTCGGCAGTCTGGAGGGCCAGATGTGGACTCGCCGACGCCGCCGGTGAGCCCTTGCCGATCGCCGATTTTGGGGGCCTTGCGACCGGATTTAACTGTCGCGTGCCGGGCTCTGATGTCGGATGCGGTAGTGGAGGAGGGTGTGGAGCTCGAGCACGGTGGAATGGGTACGGGGGGTAAGGGAAAAGGGGTTCCGGTTTATGTAATGCTTCCGCTTGATACGGTGAAGCCAGGCGGCGGCATGAATAGGAGGAAGGCGATGGTGGCGAGTTTGAAGGCGCTGAAAACAGCTGGAGTGGAGGGGGTTATGGTGGATGTGTGGTGGGGGACCGTGGAGAGGGAGCGGCCGGGGGTTTATGATTGGAGCGGATATGATGATCTGATGGATATGGCTCGCCGGATCGGCCTCAAGGTTCAGGCTGTGATGTCCTTCCACCAGTGCGGCGGTAACGTCGGTGACTCTTGCACGTGCGAACCATATCTTATCTTTTACTTCCTTTCATTTTCTCTGTTATTTAGTTTATCTGATTAGGTTCTTGATCATATTGCCGTACAAGTGAATACGAATTTAGGTTTTTGCTAGTCTGGCTTGAGATTTGAAATGGGACTCTTTGCATATCTACTGTTGCAATTAATTTTTAGTTCCTCGAAACTACGAGAAGGATTTCAGTTTATGGGTAGTTTGGGTGATGGTGCTATGTATGTAAAAAGTAAAAAAAAGCCCCTTTTTTATTTTGTGAAATGGAAGATATATTGAAAATTTATAATGTGTAGTTGCAGAAAAACTTGACTTTTTATTCGATGCTTTGTGGTGCAGTATACCGTTGCCGCGATGGGCGGTGGAGGAGATGGAGAAAGACCCGGACCTCTCGTACACCGATCAATGGGGCCGGCGAAACTACGAATACATCTCGCTAGGCTGCGACACTATTCCGGTGCTCAAGGGCCGAACTCCGGTGCAGTGCTACGCAGACTTCATGCGCGCATTTCGAGATCGCTTCGGCGCGCTTCTAGGATCCACAATCGTCGAGATACAGGTAGGCATGGGTCCTGCAGGCGAGCTCCGCTACCCTTCCTACCCCGAGCTTAACGGCACCTGGAAGTTTCCCGGCATCGGTGCTTTCCAATGCTACGACCGCTACATGCTTGCCAGCCTCCGTGCTGCCGCCTACTCAGTTGGCCATCCAGAGTGGGGCAATGGAGGCCCTACGGATGCTGGGAGTTACAACAACTGGCCGGAAGATGCTCCTTTCTTCCGTCGTGAACATGGAGGATGGGATGGGGAATACGGAGAGTTTTTCCTTTCTTGGTATTCCGGCCTCCTCCTCGACCATGGCGAACGTGTTCTCTCCACTGCCGCAGCTGTTTTCGCTGATACCGGCGCAAAGATCTCCGTAAAGATCGCCGGAATTCACTGGCACTACGGCACGAGGTCACACGCCCCGGAGCTCACTGCCGGGTATTATAACACGCGATTCCGCGATGGGTACAAGCGCATAGCTGAAATGATCGGACGGCACGGCGCGGTGCTGAACTTCACTTGTGTGGAAATGAAGAACTTTGAGCAGCCAGAAGATGCAATGTGTCGGCCGGAGGAGCTGGTGAGGCAAGTGGCCGCAGCAGCAAGGCGGGCCGGCGTGGGGCTTCCGAGATATGATGAAGCTGCGCACGAGCAGATCGTGAAGACGGCTACGGTGGCGGAGGGGGAGGACGGGGGGAAGATGGAGGCGTTCACTTATCTGAGAATGGGGCCGGATCTGTTCCGTGAGGATAATTGGAGAAAGTTCGTGGCTTTCGTGAAGAGTATGCGGGAGGAGGAGCGGTGTCGGGAGATGGCGGAGAGGGAGGCGGAGAGCTTCGTTCATGCCACCGTTCCGCTCGTCCAGGAGGCCGCCGTTGCGTTAACTAGCGGCTGAATAGGCGCCGGCGATGTATTTATAGTTGTCCGTCGATTTATATAGGGTATTTCGATCCCTAAAGTAGAAAGAGAAGGATGTCGTTTCATCTCCATCTTCGAATCAGCTCCAGCTTGGCTGTGGAAAGGCAATGGGTTGTTCTTCCGGCGCTGCTTATGTGAACTGTAACTAGTATAAAATCGGGGTAGTTTACCTGAACTTATATGGAACGGAAGTATTTATTTTTGGGTAGTTATGTTATATTTCACTGATCATTATTGGATCATTATTGAATAAAATTAGTTAAGTAATGGGCTTCTTGAAAGAAAGAATTGTTGGCTTGTGTCATTCTTAGTTGGAAAGAGGAGCTTCATAATAATGTTTAATTGTGTTATAGCTAAACTTTTAGATTCATGCAAAACAATTCTTATGTTCTATTTTTTTAATATTTAAATTATAATATTTTGGTGCATATTATTTTAAAACAAATGAAATGTAGTATATTTGATGAATCAAAATAAAAAAAAATGTTTTGATATTCTTTTTATATTATAATTATATAAGAATAGTGCGACATTTAAGTGAGAACTCCTTGTATTTATTTATAATGGGATCAATTTTATTTTTTAAAAAATAAATTTATTTAGTATATTTTGATTTTTAAAATAAATAAATGTGTTCAAAACATGTTTAATTTTTTGGGGCTTTGCGACGGATCTTGGGATTATATTGGACGTGTTCACAATGGTGAGACAATCGATGGTTCTGGCCTTGGTTTGCTTGCTCTGATCCTCCTGATGTTGGGTGGAATTATTGTCTACTTGACCCTTGCAACAGGGAGTTTGGTCGATCGTGCACTTTGTCTGGGTTGTCTTATGTTGTCTTGTGGTGGTCACTTTTAGTGTCTGTGTTTGACGGGCTTAGGGGTGTTCTCATAAACGATAATATACTTGCTAGCCATTTTTAACAGCTCGGTCAAGCTTTGTGGCTTTGCAAGTTTGCGGTCAAAACGAAACCTCTCCAACCTCACTCCTTGTGTCAGTGTAGCCCGAGCCATGTTAGGCTTCAAGTCCTTGACGTCCATGTTTTCGCTCTGGAAGCGTGTGATAAATGATCACGAGCTCTCATTGTCTCTCTGTTTTCGTTGCCACAGGAATCAGACACTTTTCTCAGGCCTCAGGGCACTGACATATTGTGATAGAAATAGTCTTATGAACTCTGCAAAACATGTGATTACCTTCCACAAGCAACATGTTGAACCACCTTAATGTGGTTGATATCAACATCATGAAGAAAAGCTTGCACTTGAGAACTTAAAAAGTTTTCGATAGGCATATAGAAGATTCGAACAACATGAGGTGATCGTTAGGATTCGACCGCACTTTGTATGATCATAAGACGGGCATCTTGAACTTCTCTGGAGGTTCAACTTCCGAGACCTATAGGGAGAAGACACTCCGGTTACCTTTATACCTTGGCCCGCACTAGTCGGTTTCTCTCATCCATAACAATAGTGCAATTTATATCATTCTTCGTTCCATAACCATCTGTTTGCCTTGAGATTAGTGCTGACATATTTTTCATATACAAGTTTAACGTGTTATTTGTTAAATTAGATTCTATTGTGTCATCAAAACAATGTTATTTTTAAATTGCACTATGTTATGTTCTCAATGTTTGTTCTCTTAGATGTTTAGTTTGTTATGCTATGGACGTTTATTTTATCTCCTAAATTACGTTATATTGTGTCATAGATATTTGTTTTATTTTTTAAATTGCATTGTAATAAATAGGGTCTTAGCTCCTTTGAATAACATTCAAACTGTACTCTAATCTCATTCTATCATCATTCAACTCATTATCACTCTATTCAATTCATATTTGATTTTTAGAACTTTTTAAAATCTTATTCAAATAAATGTAGGTTGTTACTGACTTTAAATGTTTATAATGTAGTAAAAGTTGTTGATATTTTTATTATAAATGAATTTTCATATATATATATATATCCAAAAAAATAAAAACCAACATATTTTCTTATTTTTAGTATCATAGGCATATAAAATTAAATGAAATTTAACGTTCATGGAACACAATTCTTGTAAATCTACATAGTTGAGACCTAAACTTTTATATTTACACACATAGCACACATATGCTTTAAACTCATACATAAAAATGTACTTTGAACCTTTTTACATGAAAATATGTATTTAAACTTTATAAAATGATAGTATATGTGATGTTAAAGATTCGAGCGCCATGCATATAAATATATATGTTTAGGTGTGAGATATCTAAATACATAAGCATTGTGTGCTATGTATGGAAATGCCCCAAAATTAAATTACTCTAACTATAACACAAAAATATTTAGATAACCCTAATACATGAAGAAAATATTACAATAAGAGTTCTAATATATTTTTGCGTCAGGATTCCAATCACTATCTATCCAATTAATGACTGACATATAAAATCCAAACCTACAAAATATTAAATAATTGAAGTGATTGTATGCCTTACCTATCCTAATTGAATTCATGACATCCGTTAATATTTGTTTCCATAATTGGGGTTCTCATTGAAGTTATTTATCCGGAGATTGGGAAGCCTCTAAAAGCATATCACTAAAGCCTCGGCGCCTATACAGAGTTCGTGCCTTCTTCCCAAATCACAGCTGAGTCATCCTCTGTTTTCATTCTACGAATTGTAGCTACAGTTCAGTCCCGACCAATGTAAGTGTAGAAAGAATTTCTTCAATTCCTATTATCTATCTTCCAAAAGTTTTTATGGTAAAGAAACGTCTTTGCTGCAATTATTCTTTCGAACCTTTGAAATGGTTCAAGGGAAAGCCGTTTGAAGCCTATGGACGCGGAGCAGTTGAGAGAGAATGCCCATATGATGGTGGATTTCATTGCCGATTACTACAAAAATCTGGAAAGCTTCCCCGTTCTGAGCCAGGTTAAGGTATGAGATAGCTCTTCTAAAACCCTTTGATGAAATGAAACGTCATGCTTCTGTGCTTTTATGGGTTTCTTTCGTTCTCTCTATCTTCTTTTTTGTTTCATTTTGATTTGTTACGAGATTTGTGTGATTGTAGCCTAATTATCTTTGCGAGCTTCTTCCTGATTCCGCCCCACAACGGCCTGAAAGTTTGCAGGACATTCTTAAGGGTCAGTTTTTTGCCCGGCTGATTTTTTTCTTGCGGAATTTATGTTTTTGATCCCTGTTTTTAAATAAGATCTGTTGTTTAGTGCTTCTGTTTTCATTTAGGACGAGGAATAGTTAAGCTTACTGAAGTATCTTGCATGCAGATGTTCATGAAAAGATCATTCCTGGTGTCACCCACTGGCAGAGCCCAAACTATTTTGCTTATTATCCTTGCAATAGCAGCATTGCTGGATTTCTTGGAGAAATGCTCAGTGCTGGCTTTAATATTGTGGGCTTCAGCTGGATAGCCTCCCCTGCTGCAACAGAGTTAGAGACTATTGTCTTGGATTGGGTTGCTAAAATGTTGAAGCTACCAAATCAGTTCCTTTCTTCAGGTAATTGGGATAATTTTTTCCTTCTATTGTTTTGATGTATATATACCTCCATTAATGGTTTTGAGTTGTTCAGATTTCTCATCCAGGATGAGCAGTATATACTATGAAAGAGAGGGCCTCAAACTAGGAACGAATATAATGAACTACCATCTTAGACAATAAGTATGAATGAATATTGAGTTGGTAGCCAATTCTCTTAAAAATTAAGTATGAAAGAATCTTAAATTTGATAGCCACCAATCTTGGAAATCAAAATCAAATTTGTATTACCCAAGGTTATTAAGGAAATTTATGCTCTACTCTTAAGATTACAATGCTGGTATGATCTTATTATCTTATAAATCTTATATCATAGTGTTGTTGTCATTTTTTTTTCTTATTAGAGTTCTTCACGTTTAATTATTATTATTTTTTGTAATCATTTGCTGTCACACTTAACATCCATATTTCTCATAGTTATGCTTTACATGTGAAAGCGCTACTACTTTTATCATTAGTGAAATAAATATCCACTTTTATTCACCTAGGTCAGGTGCACCAACTAAAAAGAGTAGGTTCAAACTAGTTGGTTTTAGGAGCGAAAAATGATTGAATAGGCTTTTGGTTGAGTTAAAGTTGTAAGTCGCACATTAAGCGTCAATTGGAGCTTAGAAGCACCAAATTTCCTAAACAAGTCACTCCATGTCGTACTCATTTGATTCAATTTGGTAGAATATTGATTAATGGTTCTCAGTGAAAATAATCGTCTTGTTTCTGCTCTAAACAATACTCATTTAAGGCACTCATATTAGGAGAGATGAATACTTGATAACTACACTCCAATTAAAGTAAATGTTCGACCACCATTGTGTAGCCTTAGAAAAGTGTAGCCATTCTATAGAAATGACCTTGACTCTCACCTATAAGGGGTTAAGTGTCAGGTAAGGGGCTGAGATTCTCATGTGAAATCTTGGCCAAAATCATGCATTTCTCTCCCTTTCTCACTTTGAATCCATGTGCTATCTCTAGATTCAATTTGTCCTTACTTTGCAAAGGGTCCGATGGAGTTTATTGCAAATAATCAACAGCTGTCCAAACAAACTCTTAATGTAATATTTTTGCCCCTCTCTTATATTGGATTGCCTAGTGGTACTATATGGGGTTTAACTTCTTTTCACTAAGCTATTTTTCATCAAATTTCTTTACGATGTGCGAGTGTGAAAAATGGTTCAAACCAAAGTCATTCTATTAACAATTATGATGATCTTGAGAAGATGCCTCGAAGTGTGAGGCATGAAGGTTTTGCTACCTTCAAACATCTCCAACAGATGGAAGATCGTCTCATTAATATGAACATTTTCTACTAGTTTTCTATAGTCAGATTAAGTACCTTGATGCACTCTTACTTTGCAAATGTTTTAAATGTTAAATATCTCTTTTAAATTGAATACATTGAATTGTTACAAATTTTCTATATAATTGAATTATTTTCATAACAGCGCTAGAATTAAAGCTTGAGACTATGAAGGAATATCTTTGCAGGGCTTGGTGGTGGAGTAATTCAAGGTACAGCAAGTGAAGCAGTTCTTGTTGCTTTGTTGGCTGCTCGTGATAAAATACTGAGAAGGGTTGGAAAGGAGTGTCTAAATCAACTCATTGTTTATGCTTCTGATCAAGCCCATTCTGCGTTGCAGAAGGCATGCCAGGTGTTCAAACATAAATACATTTCTAACTCTTCTTTTCGAGGAAGCCAGAGGTTTAAATGTTATTTGTTTATTATTATTTTTGCATAACTAGTTGCTTCATGTTATTTAGTAAACAAAATATGCATGCTACTTATCTTTATTATTTATATACGAAGGTAGCGAGCTAGTTTTTTACTCATGGATCATATCTTTTTGTAGTTCTGCAATATATTAAACTCTAAACCCTAAATTTCTCTTAGTTTGCACTCTAAATCCATATTTATTAGTCTACTCAACAACCTTCGATTACCACACTAACTAAAAGAGATGTTGTTATACCAAAAGCCTAGCTTAGCATTACTTTAGTGCCAAATGAACAAAATACATTTTCTTAAGCCAAACTTTGCTTTTAAGTTTTGCTAAGTGAAGAAAGAATTGTTCAAAACTTGCTTTGTATATTCGTAACATGGGCTTAAATAGAGTATTACAATATTTTACAAATACACCTCTAAAATTCTTCAATATTCCCTTTTTTTACCAATAGGACCCTAAATAAGGTTCAATTCTCAACAACCCCCCACACTAACTAAAAGAGATGTTGCTATACCAAAAGCCTAGCTTAGCATTACTTTAGTGCCAAATGAACAAAATACATTTTCTTAAGCCAAACTTTGCTTTTAAGTTTTGCTAAGTGAAGAAAGAATTGTTCAAAACTTGCTTTGTATATTCGTAACATGGGCTTAAATAGAGTATTACAATATTTTACAAATACACCTCTAAAATTCTTCAATATTCCCTTTTTTTACCAATAGGACCCTAAATAAGGTTCAATTCTCAACAGCCCCCCCCCCACCAAGATGAGCAAAATATATCTACTAAACCCATCTTGTCACATAACCTAGAAAAATGTAATGAAATAAGTCCTTTAGTGAGGCAATCAACCACTTGCTCTCTAGTGGCGACATTACTTAGCTCTAGTAGCCATTATTTAGCTTTTCCTTGATGAAGAATCTATCAATCTCCATTTGTTTGGTTCTATTGTACTGCACCGGGTTGTTGGCAATGCTTATTGCTGACTTTATGTCGCATCACAACATTTGAGCTTCTTGGTCCACCTTGACCAACAAGGCTCTCAGCCACATCTCAACAACTCATAAGTCTATGACCCTATACTTTGTCTCTGCTATTGATCTTGCTACTACAAACATTTTCTTGCTCTTTCAAGAGATCAAGTTGCCCCACCACTAACTTGCAATATTCAGAGGTCGATCTTCTGTCATCTCACAACTCGTCTAATTAGCGTCACAAAAACCTTCAATGTCTACATGTCAATTCTTCCTAAAGATCAATCACTTCCCTGGTTTGCTTTCCATGTACCTTGAAATCTAATACACTGCATGGATCCATGTCCTTTCCTTAGATCATGCATGTAGCTGCTCAACACACTCACTGGAAAAGAGATGTCGGCTCGAGTGTGACACAGATATACCAATCTCTGGTACCTCTCACAATCAATTGTTCTCCTGCTTTTGCACTCAACTTGGTCTTCGGTCAATTGAGGAGACTGCAGGTTTGCACCCCAACATGCATGTTTCTGGAGGAGATCTAGTACATTCCTCTGGGACAAGAACATCCAAAATATTTGCATTGTTCAAGATTCTTCACCTCAAATTCATTGCTCAATCTTACCTTTAGTTGGACAATCTCTGTCTTATCATCACTAGTGACAATGATGTCATCAACATATACAACAAATATATGGTGTGACATTTATGTTGTCGAAAGAACACCATATGATTTGCATTGATCTGTTGATATCTCATACTCACCATAATCTTTTTAAACTTGTTAAATCATGCTCGAGGAGACTGCTTCAAGATATACAATGACTTACTGAGCCTATACACCTTGCCCAATGTCTGGACTATAGTGAATCCTAGTAGTATCTCCATATATACCTCATTCAGTAACTCACTATGAAGAAACACTTTCTTCATATCGAGTTGGTATAATCTCTACCCACCATTCACTACCAAAGAAACCAGTGTCTTCATTGTTATCATCTTTATTACTGGCGTAAATATTTCATCATAGTCAATGTCATATGTCTAACTATACCTTTTCTCCACTAGTCATGCTTTGTACTGCTCCATCTTTCCTTCTAGAGTTTGCTTCACGAAAAAGATCCACTTACACCGAACTTCCTTTTTTCTTGTTGATAGTGACGCTATCTCTGATGTTCGTTTTTTATAGAGAGCCTTAAGCTCTTCATGCATAGTCGTTTTTCAGTTGGGATTCTCCTTAGCAACCTACCAACACTTGAGTATAGAGATAATATTCAAATATACAATGAATGCTCATTTGCTTTAATATGAAACCAAGTTAATAATGTCATGTTCCAACCCAAAATAATCAGGAGGATATCCCGCTAAAGTTGGGGGGTAGGAGAAGGAGAACCCACAAACACACATTTTACAGCTCTGGGATCCAACTTCTCCACTGATAGTTTGTTATCCTTCACAAAACACACATCCAAATATCTTCAATGAGAGGATCTTACTATTATCTCCTTTCACATATGAGAAGGAAACTTTCAATCTAACAACGCCGAGGGCATCCTGTTGATCAATTGAACAATTATCAAAATTTTTTGCCCTCATAAGTGTTTTGGAACATTCACTGCGATCATCATGCTTTGGGTTTCTTTTGAAGGTGTATATTCTTCCTCTTTGTTATTTTATTGTGTCGGTGTGTATGGAGACATTGAGGATGTATCTCTTATGTTAACAAGTATTTCTCAAATATTTTGTTGGTATACTTTCTCCATCATCAGATCTCAATATATTCACTACTGCGCCATATTGAGTATGTAATGCATTGTGGAAGTCTTTAAAATAATCAAACACATCACTCTTATTTTCCATCAAATATAACCAAGTAACACAAGAAAAAACAATCAATAAATGTCAAAAAATATCGATAATAATTCATAGATTTATATAAAAAATATGTCTACATGAATCTCAAAACAATTAGACGACTCGGGAGACATAAATGAACAACCGATTACAAGACCGATCGCCCGTGGACATTAATGATGAACAACTGCTAGATGACCGATGGATCATAGGCTGACAAGGAACGCATGGAACGAACGATCAGAAAAATCAGATTTTGACAAAGCGCATCAAGGAACTGTCCATCAGAATGATGATATGCTTTTTGCTCAAGTCGGTCGCTAGATAATCTTGCTCTGCACTGAAAATTGACTGAGTAAATATGGAACAAACGATCAACAAACATCTCCTGACCGGATGAGTCGATCGGTCTTATTTTATTCAATATTCCTGTAATATACTAAAAGACCCATTTGAAAGGTCAATGATGAGAGGATAAATCTATAATTTAATAAAACCTAGACCCATTCCTATAAATATGGGTCAATATCATGAATAATGTTACACATTCTTTACTATTTTCAGTGTGATATTCTATACCTTGGGTGTATTGCTCGGGCATTTTTGGATTCAACATTCTTTATGGTGTGTTATGCGTTGAAACATGTCATCAACAAGAAGATGTGCTCATAACAACAACAAGAAAATTCCAATCAGAGGAACATGACAGAAGTAACATGCACTAGGGAGTTCATGAAGGAATTTATTCAGCAAGGTCTGTTAGACCTGAGGACTCAAATGACTAACCGCATGTCAGGACAATTCACAGAGGTACTCAAAGAGATAGCTGCCCTAGGGGCGGTCCCAGTTCCAAGAGGAGAATCAACCCAACCAGGGGCACTCAACCCCCCTCATGGGAACCGCTAGCGAGCAATGAAAGAAGAATGATCCACCTGTAGGAGAAGCTTAATGATGTGCTATACCAAAATAACACTGGATCCACCCCTGGGGAGGAGAGGAATCAACCGATGTGAATCGAGGCACTGCGACAGTCGTAAAATGCTTTCTCACTGCAAGTCGCAGGAGCTCACTCCCCGGAGAGGTTTAAAATGCTCGTCCTAGAGCCATATAAAGGACGGTCGGTTCTCAATAACCACCTCGCGTCTTTTGAATATTTCATATGCCTGCTAACAATCTCTAACGATCTGTAGTGTAAGGTGTTCTTTAAAACGTTGAAATCGTCTGTGCTAAGATGGTTCAACGGGTTACCTGCAGGGGTGATCACCTGTTTTGCAGCGTTCAAAAAGCTCGTTTTATCTCAGTTTGCCGGCACTCAGAGACCCAAAAAGAGCGTCTGATCCTTATAGCATCTGAAACAAGGAGCCGACGAGAGCGACCGATTACAAGACCGATCGTCCATGGACATCATAGGCCTACAAGGAAAACATGGAATGGACGATCGATTACAAGAACGATTACAAGACCGACCGTCCATGGACATCATAGGCCTACAAGGAAAACGTGGAATGGACGATCGAAGAAATCAGACTCTAACAAAGTGCATCGAGGAACTGTCCCTCGGAATGAAGATCAGCTTTTTGCTCAAGTCAGTCACCAGATAATCCTGCCTTGAATTGAAAATTGACAAAGTAAATATGGAATAAATGATTGACAAGCATTTCTCGATTGAATGAATCAATTGGTCTTATTGTATTCAATATTCCCATAAAATACTAGAAGTCATTTCTGAAAGGCCAAAAATGAGAGGGTAAATCTATAATTTTGTAAAATCTGGACCCATTCCTATAAATAGGGGGTCAATATCATGAATAAATGTTACACATTCTCTACTATTTCCTACTGCACTCTTCTTTCAGTGTGAAGTTTTATACCTTGGCTGTGATTTTCATATATTTTTGGATTCAACAATAGAACTTGTAGAATAAGGTCCCCAAACATTAGAATGCTTCAAGAAAAAAAATAATTGAACTCCTACTCCCATAACTGATATAAGCTCTTAGTAGGCTTACCAAACTCACAAGCATCACAAATCAACTTTTGCTTATTTGCCTTTTCTTATAAAGAAGGATACATCCGACTCAATAAATTTAAACAAGAGTGTCTTATGTGTTTGTGATGTAGCAACAACACATCCTTCACGCTCCTCTCGGATTCTCCTACTCCAGCACTCTCTACCATAAATGTTAAAGATGAGTTCATTCCCTCTTGGGCCAAGTACCAGAGTTCACTATGCCATGTTCCATCCTCAAGTCTGACCAGCCCCTTTCTCTTGAAAGATCAACCTAATATCAAAAGAAATAACACATTTTAATTGGAGAATAATGACACTAATAGATAAAGTGTTCACTAGAAAAGGAAAATGTAAAATACTCGATAAAGTCATATAATTTGTACCCTTTAATGTACATTTACCAACTACATACTGTGTTATGGTATAACAGTTTGGATGCTCTTTGGTACTGTTAGAGGAGTATTGGAAGAAAACTCTCTAACAGTACTTGTAATATATCGAGATGCACTAAATTCTACTATCTATTCTAATGTTCTTGTGTTAGAAATAGATGAAAGAACATGTGCATCATAAGTACCTTTGTCAGAGTGAGCATAGACGACAACATTACCCTTTGATGACAATTAATTGGAAGCATCCCCAGCCCTATCTCATGTTGCTTGTTGCTTCTTCTTCAACAATCCGGACGCTCATGATTCTCATCAGTAAAAACCATACATGTTTCTCCCTCTTATGTTACCATTAGATCTGCCTCCCTTTTTTCATTTTTTTGACGACCAAGGCCTCCACCATCTCTATGTTCACCTGTCTCTCTCTTCTTAAGTGACCTAGGACAGGTCTCTCTTAGATGCCCAACTTCACCACAACTGTAACACTTGCAAGTTTTTCTTTGGACACTTATTATACCTAAGCTCGAGGCAGCCAAAGCTGATCGCACACTCGGAAGTCCCTTCGGCTTAAAGCGTAGCTTCATGTGACATTCTCCTGTATCATTGCAGCAATGAACTCATCTGTGAAGGGATAATCGCCTGAGCTAGGAGGAAATATCTCCTCTGATTAAAGATTGAGTTTAGATGGGTCAGAAACTGCATAGTCCTCATATGTGCAAAATCTCTCTTTTTTACACTCATATCGCCACAGCTCGACATCGGTGAAAAGTGATCAAGATCTGCCCACAACCGCTCTAGAGCTATGGCGTATTCTTGAATCAATTTAGCACCCCGTTCTACTGCTTCTATCTCATGCTGAATTTGGAACACCCTCATGTGGTTCTCTTTCCTAACACAAATTCTCTTCAAATTTGCCCAGATGTCCCTCAAAATTCGAATGTCATCTACTGGGAATACAATTGACAGAATTATCGAGTTCAGCAGTTAGGTGTAGAATGCAGATTAAGGTGTCTGTGGTCCTCCGCTTATCCCCCTCAACATTATTAATCTTTCGGTCATCCCTGGCTACATATTCCTCTAGTCTCTCCCCTACTAGAACAACCTTGATCCAACGGGATCAACTTAGATACGTGACTGATTCATCAAGCTTCAGATCCACAGGAAGTAGGTCTAACTTCACCTGCATCGGAGCACATGCTGAGATAGTGGCTTCTGTCGAGACATTAGCTCTTTGTATGAGCTTGGCCAAGACCTTCAGATGTTCGGGATTTATCTTCCCCAGAAACTTCAATTCCTTACTTCCCGCACTATCTCCATCTCCTGACAGCCTTAATCACAAGAATCCATGCATAGATCACACATATCAAATAACAAATCCTTTGTGTTAGTATGTTGTGATCCTGTCGTTGCCTTTATGGGTCTTGCAAACACGGAGGAATCGAAGATTGAGACTTTGTTGGATGGGTCGCGCACGACAAAGATTTGAACTGGAGTTTCAAAGATCTTTATATGCCACTGCCTCGATCCCGTCATTACTTTCTTAGTTAGCTCTAATTGTGACTATATCGCTGCGATCCCATCACGACCTCTATGGGTAGCTCTCATTTCGGTTGTATCGCGAAGCTCCGAGTCGCGATCGTGTCTTCGTCTAGCTTCGCGAGGACGAAGAGAAAGGAAGTGAAGTTTTTGGTCTTTGTACGCCCGATACCGAGCAATTTCGTCAAGCCGCGATTTCGTCTTCGTTCATCTTTCCGAGGACAAAGAGGAAGGAAGAGATGTCTTGGGTCTCTGTATGCCCGATCCCGACTATCAAGGGTTAGGGCTTTGATACTATGAAGAAAGAATTATTCAAAACTTGCTTTGTACATTCATGACATGGGCTTAAATAGGGTATTTCAATATTTTACAAGTAAACCTTTAAACTTCTTCAATATTCCTTTTTATCAATAGGTAATAGTATGGTTCAATTCTCAACACTAATCGTAACTATACCTTTGCTTAACAACTTGGCTAACGGTTAAAAGATTGGCTAGGCCAAAAATCATCTTGATGAATGATTTTAAAAATATTGGCAGTATAAAACTATAATAGTCAAGCATAGAATAAATTGATATTTTAAAGTGTAATAGTTATAATGGATAATTATTGTGTCATTTAAGCCTATTAAAGATTAATCAATAGTTAAAGTTATAATTTACATGCATTAACTAATGTAAGCCTAGAATATTTCCTAAATACATAAATAATTAGAACTCAAGAGTTAATTATTCATTTAAATCAAATAAGGTATAAGTAGGGCTTTGTTAAGATAATTGAGTTATTAAAATTATTAAATTTTGTAGTATAAGATCATGAAATCAAGTATAGGATAAATAGCTCAATAAGTTAATTAATGATGTTAATAGGTAATTAATGAGTCATTTAATCTAATTAAAGATTAATCAAGATTTTAACTAAGTTTATTAATATATATCTACAATAACTATTATAAAATTTTTATAATTCATAAATTCATAATTACCTAAACTATAATTTGTTATTCCTTTATGTTAATTGAGATTTTATTAGGGTTTAACAAGATAATTAAGTAGTATAACTATTAAGTTATAATAATTAGTCATACGATTATTAATTAATGCTTTAATAACTTTATAAAATAAAATTATCAAGATCGTTGCTTCTAATTAAGGTAGTCTTGGCATACTTAAAGGAACTTAACTAACTTCTATTAGTCAATGTTTAAATGCTATTTACTAAGATAAGTTTTACCTAATTATAAATTATGACACCATGATGGGCTAAGCAAATTAGTTCAATTTAAAAGAAACAAAACAATATTCTCAACCTATCTTTTTAACTATAACAACAACAACAACAACAAAGCCTTAATCCCACTACGTAGGGTCTGCTACATGAATTATTTTTCTCCATTGCGTCCTATTTAGTGTCATATTTTCATTTAGTTCTAGTAAATTAAGATCATTTTTAATACAATAAGCCCAAGTCTTCCTAGGTCTACTTCTGCCTTTCTTAACACAAGTCGAATCTAAAACATCTACTCTCCTAATCAGATCATCAGATGGTCAACGTTTAATGTGACTAAACCATCTAAGACGACTTTCTCTAATTTTGTCCGTCACAGGAGCTACACCAACCCTATCACGAATATATTCATTTCGCATTTTGTCTCTATGTGTAAAGCCACTCATACACCTAATCACTAACCAAATAATTTATCTTTTTCACTAACCAAAAAGATAGTGTAAACCTATCTTTTTCACTAACCAAATAATTTAACCCCACCTAAAGCTTACCTTATTTGGCTTAACTTAAGCACCAACCAAAGAGAGCCAATCTCTGTTATCCTATCATATCATAATCTCCTCATCTTTATTGGGCGATTATGGTTTGCGGACTATTATGGTTTCCTTCTTCATTATTTAATGCGTGCTAGCATCCAATCAACTGAAAAAAATGATTTAATTCTATTTTGATGTTCAAATCTTGAAAATCACTTTTTTTTTAAATTTTTTTATTTTCCAGAAAGATAATATTTCCAGTTTTCTTCACCAGCTCACTTAAAAATCTACATCTTATCGCATAAGTTTTTATTTTGTATTCCAAAACTTATAAATATTGTTAGATTGCAGGAATTTATCCAGAAAACCTTAGGCTTTTAAAGGCTGAACCAAGTTCAAGCTATGCACTTGCTTCTGACTTACTCTCTGAAGCAATTGCCAACGATTTCTCATCAGGCTTGATACCCTTCTTCCTCTGTGCTACAGTGAGAAACACTTGTATCTTCTTTATTAAGTATTTTGGCATAAAATTTCCTTAAAAGTTTATATATATATATATACATTACTATAATAAAAAAATGACTGAATCGAGAATTTTGATTCCTAAACATGCATATGAAAACTAAATTTTGTTTAATGTATATTTGTAGGTTGGGACAACATCTTCTGCTGCAGTTGATCCTTTATCTGATCTAGGGAAGATAGCTACGGTAATCCACATGCTGATTTGGTTTCTTCCTCCTTTTGCTTGCTAAAACACATGTTAATTCTGTTTTATGTAAATTTTTTTGTCTTGAATTTTAACCATATTAACTTTTTTTTTTCTTTTTTCTCCATTCTTGTTAATTGATTTATCCTCCCTTTTTTGGCTTATTCTGCCGTCTGTTTTGAATGTCTACATCACTTTTAAGTCTATTTTCCAGTGGCTTTTGTATTAATATGCATTTACTGCATAATCTCTTTAGAAAAATAATTTCATTGAATGCTTCTTATCTATTATATAAATTTTGCTTTTGATTTCTACAACACACAACTTGGCTTGCACTGACTTTTGTATTTTCCAACCTTTAGATTTATATATTTTGCCATCATTTGTCTTCTTAATGATATTGTTTAAATACACATTGTGATGCGGAAGTGTCTCCCTATTACGAGTAGAATGCGGGAGCAAACCGTGGCTCCCACGGTCGCTTGAAGACCGAACCAAGCAGCCTTTTTTTAGTTTCCTTTCTAATTTTAGCCAATTTCCTCCTTTACTTTCAGTCATTTCCAATCCTTTCCTATAAATGTGTTGTATTAGGGTTTAGAGGGGATTTTTTTGCATAAGTTTGTTAAGGACAACCACTGGCATCTTATTTCTCCCGTCCAAGGGATTGTGTGGTGCTTCAATTATATTTCTCTCTCGAGGTGGTGATTATCTTACCCTATTCTTTTCACATCCTCCCAAATCGCTCCCGGCTGCCCCTTTCTTGTTGTAACTGTTCGGAGCAACTTTTTTTTGGTTGTTTTCTACAGTTAATGCTTTACAGCCTCCCTTCCCCGCCTCGTTGCCATCCTGCATTGCCGCATCCATCCTTCTCCAACCTTCCCGCATCACTCTCAGTCGCCAACCTGTTGTGGTAAACGACGACAATAAAGCGAAAAATTGGAACGAGAAAATTCACAAATAGAAAAAAATACACAAATTTACGTGGTTCGGCAATTTTGCTTATGTTCACAGAGTTGCAGATGTTTTTATTACTCTGAGGAATTACACTGTCGTCGATCGCCTCGACGATTACAAGAAACAACTTCCCTCCCCCTCTCTCTATGATCACCTACTCTCTCTATCTCTCTACCCGAGAGAGCAACATCCGAAGGACTAGGAAGCATTGCCTTGTGATACCATCTTCCCGTGAGCTGCACAGTAGGAGAGCACTAAGGGGTGCAACAACCTTGCGATACTTCTTCTCCTTCTGCCGTGAGCCAACTTCGAAGAAGAACACAAGGGGAGTCGTAGACGTGCGATTCTTTCTTCACCCGTAAACCAACACAGAAGAAAAATGAGGGAGAGCAGGAAGCAAGAATTTTTCTTGCAATTTTTCTCCATTTCTTCTTCAGCAAGCTTTTAATGGTGGCGGGACCTACCAAGGTAAAAGAAGCAGGATTTCTTTTGGCGGGAGGCGGGGACAGTTGAAGAAAAGGATGATGCAACCATCAGATGATACAACTAGTGGATGATGCAGCATGTGTACTAGTCTCCAAGTGAGATATTTGTTGAATATGTGGAGACAGGTCCACGCGAGGAAAAAAAAGCAACTGTTCCCGCCTTCTGCCATAAGTAATTTCGCTTCTTTTGCCTTGGTAGGTCCCACCACCATTAAATGCTTGCAGAAGAAGAATTAGAGAAAAATTGTAAGAAAAATTATTGCATCCTGTCTCCCTTGTTTTTCTTTTGCGTTGGTTTATCGGTTAAGAAAGCATTGCAGGGCTACGACTCCCCTTGTGTTCTTCAATGTTGGTTCACGACAGAAGAAGAAGAAGTATCGCAAGGCTGCTGCACCCCTTAGTGCTCTCTTACTGTCCGACGCACGGGAAGATGGTATCGCAAGGCAGCTCTTCCTATTTCTTCGGCTTGCTCTCTTGGGTAGAGAGATAGAGAGAGTAGGTGATCAGAGAGAGGGGAGGGAAATTGTTTCTTGTAATCGTCGAGGCGATTGAAGACGGTATAATTCCTCAATGTAATAAAATTCTCTGCAACTCCGTGGATGTAGGCAAAATTGCCGAACCACTTAAATTTGTGCGTTCTTTACTGTTTGCGAATTTTCTCGTTTCAATTTTTCAAATTTTCTCGTTTTATTGCCATCGTTTGCCACAACACAACCCACATTGCTGCCATCCCTAAAATAGAAAATCTGTCGTTTTCCTACTGTCCACCCACCATTCCAACTTGCTGCTGCCTAGACTACAGCACCTCACCGTCCTAGCCCTCTGTTTTGCTGTCCAAACTACCCACAACCCTTTTCAGCCACTTATTTCTGCTCGTTGACAACCTAGCCGAACTCCACCACCACGAGATTGGGCCCTAATGTGAGTGTCTTGTGTTTGTTGTAATTTTTTTTTTCTGTTACCCTCTTTTTACTTTTTATATTATGGTGGGAAAACCCGTTTTTTACTTTTTATATTATGGTGGGAAAACCCGAAGAGGGAGAGATGAAGAGAGTGACGAGACAAAATCACTTCTTCGCTATATTAATATGGTTTTAGAGATTTGAACAAAGGGTTGTTCCCGAGTAACATTACTTTTATTGTAGGCATGTGTCAGCACAAAAAAGAAAGAAAGGCTGTTTTGGGGGGGGTCGCCCGTAAGAAGCTGTCGGCAGCCGGAATTGAAATCCCGTCGCCCGCTTCGGAAGGACGTTTTAATTTACGTATATATATGTATATAATTTTAGAAAAATATGAAATCAAACTGACCTCATATTTTTCACAGTTTAAATGAAAGAGCGCTCTACCT